GTATATAGTAGCTATCTCTGTTAGGGTATATAGAAGCTAATCTCTGATATGGGATATAGTAGCTAATCTCTGATATGTTACATAGTAGCTAATCTGATATGTTATATAGTAGCTAATCTCTGATATGTTATGTAGTAGCTAATCTGATGATATGGGATATAGTAGCTAATCCAATGTGGTCTACAGTAGCTAATGTCATTTCCATCTCATGCTTTTCATTAATATTGTGCTGAACCCGACGTAAAGCCATTAATGACTATGCATCCACAAAGGAATCACCAGTCTTCCTTCCTTTGTTCTAAGGCGTTAAATATCATTTTAACTTTTACATGTGATTAAGACTTCTTTATTTAGTGTTCCTGATGCCCAAGAAAATTATTATTATCTGGAAAACAAATAATAATTGCTAACTACTTTTAGTGCTGTGCATAGAGAGAAAAGAACTTCTCCCGAAGCCAAGTCATAATCAAAACTACACAACATTCTTAAAATACCTTGACTCTTGATTCTATAAACCTGGTCTCCAGAAGCCAGTATCAGCTGCCACTGATGCTGTAAGTTTCTTAGGCAGAGACTCAACTGCCATAAGCAGAAGCCACAACATTGGCAGAAGTGGGGCACAGTTAGAAGATGACGCTTCATCACCAACATGTCACACTTGTCGGCACTTAAAAAAAAAAAAGAGAAGAGGGAAGAAGAAGTCGAATTTCAGTATCCAAATCTGAACTAAAATTTTGGAAAAATACAGCATAGTACAGAGTATGAAACCATACCAAAGTGATATTTTGATGGAGATATTTTGGGGAAAATATGATTTTAACATCAACTAGGAAATCATGTTTTCCAAAGGCAGTGACTCTCAACCCTAGCAGTGTGTTACAATCAGCTAAGGGAGCTTTAAAAAGATTGAATGCAAATTTCCGAGAGGCACCAGGCTCTAATGTTTTTTAAAACTTCCCAGTCAGTTTTAACGTGCAGCCAGGATTGAGAACCACTGCCCGTGGCCTCAAAGCCCTGGTGGTGTTTCAGAGTTGGTCCCTGAGAGCTCTTCGTGGCTGTTAACTCCCGTGTGTGCCTCTTCTAGGTCTTTCTGCCAATCCTCCAGGACACCCACCATAAGGAGAGGAGACCCTGGACCAACATCCTCTAAGATGTTTATATGGACCAGCGGCCGGACGTCTTCTTCCTACAGACATGATGAGAAAAGGTAAATGCAGTGGGATTCTGGGCCCTCTTCAGAGCATGCACCTGACTCTCCCACTAGGATGTCACAGGAAGGTGCTAATCAGGCAGCCGGGCCTCCGCCCTGCAGGTGAGGATGGACTCTGCGCTGAGGAGCAGGTCTCAGCATGCTGTCGTCCTCCTCCTCACACGTTACATGTTCACTTTCAGCACATAGCTCTGAAAAAGTTGTTCCCAGCCGAAACGCCCTTGTCACAAGCTCTTTGCTTAGTTAACTCTGCCCCTGCCTTCCAGTTCCCAGTAAGAACCAGCGCTCCCACATCCTCTTTAACCAGACAGACAGTGTTGCTGAATTTCCAATGCCGAGCGCTGTACCTGGCACACGGTGCTCAAAAAACACTGAGTACCAGATGGATTAATGATAATTTACTCATCGAATTAATTAATAAAAATTAAATAAACAATACGGTTAATAAAATGATAAACACAGAGAACTACTGGCAGTTCAGTTTCTTCTTCTGAAGTGATGAAAACTGCATTTCTGGGCACTGGATATATGGCAGGGAGGGAAAACAGAAACTATGAGAAGAGGGAAAGGGACAGACAAGTCCATTGAGCCCTCAAAATCCTTGGGAGAGCAGCCTGGGGGAGGGAAAAATGAGGGAATGGAGGAAGGATGAAGGGCAAAGCAGCGTTGATGAAAGACACGATGACCTTCATGTAGCTCAGTCTGGTCCTCGCACTTGGGTTCAGGGAGCGAATGTATTCGTCAAATCCTCCCGTCGTTTTTAAATACTTAGTCTCCCTCTTTCTCACTGACCTTATACTATTATTTGGGTTACGTGGAGCTAAATGTTAAATATAACTGCCTTTACCAGCATATTACAGCTTAAGCAAGCTGCACGTCAGGCAGAATCTGATAGAAATTAGATTGATTTGGCTGAAGGAAATTTGTGAAAAAATTAAAATTAAAAATTACAGTTGATCAATAGTGCAGGACACAAGGAGAAGAAACTGAAGAGGATTTGCCTGAATACTGTTTTCAGAGCTGATGCTTTTATTTTCTTTCTAAAACCTGACTTGCCCCACAGATAAAAATTCTGTAAAAAATTTCAGAAGGAAAGTTGTTCTTCACAATAATTATATATTATAGCAAAAATTGGGAAGCAACTTGAAAATTCACCACAGAAAATCTGCTAAATAAATCACTGAATATAATATACCACTTAGCATTTTAAAATGCTCTGACATTAACCAAAAAAGCAAGTCGAAAAATTGCATACAAACTCTGATTGCAGCCACAAAAAACACACAAAGGCAAAACTCTGGAAGAAATAGCATGGTTTTCACTGCTCTGCTTTCCAAATGCTTTGTAATATATTGTTACCTTAATTACGAAAAAATAATTATATGATATTTAAGTAAAATTATAGCCCAGAAGGCAACTAGCGTTTGAACAGAGTCCCTCAGCTCATCGTGGTGCCAAGCAGATTAACTGAAAACTTACTTTACCTGATCTTCCCTAGGTTTTCACTGCTTTTCCCAAGGCTTAATCAAATTATTTTCCATTTGCTTTCAAGTTGAATAATCTTTCCGCACGATCTTTTATGTAACACTATAAAATCTCATGTGTCATTTCAAATTCCGTATTTGAAAGCGCGGAAGGGCAGAGATTTGGGCCTGAGACTTTCCTACCAGGACCAAATCCAAGCGTCGTGCTGCCTGCAGGAATATGGCAGCTGTCCTGAAACTCTGAAGGCTTTATTAGAGCAAGTGAAGTATAATGTATTTGTCTCGCCTTCTGTTTACTCCCATCAAATCATTTAATACATTTTGCTACTTTTTATGAACAAAGGAATTAACATTTAAGAAGCAATTACTGTGGACTATAGGTTTTAATTGTGTTCTCTTAACTTGTAAAACAGAGATTATTATGCCCACTTCACAGATGAGGAAACCGAGGCATTGTAAATAACTGAGAGATTTTAAATAACTTCCAAAGGCCCAACAACTAGCCAGTGATGGAATCAGGATTTGACCCAAGCTGGTGCGCTCTTCCCTGCACCCCAGCACCTACACATGCTCTTGTCAAACTTGAAATATTTGCAGTGACAGTGAACACCCAAGCCCGCAAGGGGAAGAGTTGTTAAAGCAGAGCTGGATGCTGTATGTCACAGATGATGACAAACACATGACTGGTATATTGGTAATATTTGTGGAGTTTGAAAGGTGTGAACAGTTAGCTTAGTATTCTGCATCAGTAGGATTCTATGAAACTTACTTTTTTTTTATTTTTAAAATATCATTTCAGAACTATGGGATTTATGATAATTAAAATATGACTATGAGGAAATCATTTTTCAAGCTTTATTTATGGGATGGGGGTGTAAAAGCTTATTAAATAAGTCTGCAGGGCCCACAAACACAGCGGAATCTGCCATTCCGCTGGTACCCTTGCTTTAATGTTGGACTTCATTTGTCTGTGCCTTTTTCTTGACAACCTCTTCGTTTTGCTGTTTAATTCACAAATTCTTGGAAGAGATGCCTCAGATTTAAAGTGACTTTGAGCAGTATGTGTGGCTCCGTTTAAGATGCTCTTGGTGCAGTAGTCATGGTGATAATGAAGATGATGATGGCTGATAATGAATCCACATAATTAAGGTCCTCACATTAATTATTTGGAAATAAATTAACTAGATTGTCTGACAGCACTGCCCGAAATTGCTGGTAATTCAGTGTCTTCTCATTCTGCAAACCTGGCCCCTGCGTATGCCTGGTTTTTCCAGCTGTGTTCTTACAGCAAACCCAGAGGCCGGGCCATCCAAAGTCCTCAGCTGCTCTCCACAGTGCCTCTTCGAGACCAGAGCCAAATATGTCAGGATACTGGATTCCCTGGGATTCCTCAGACAGGATACTGGATTCCCTGGGATTCCTCA